CTCCTCTGAGGATTCAGAATACTAGAAAAACATTAAACGAAAAAAAAAAAAGTGTTACACACAAATTCATTCCTTAATGTTGAGGATTTTTGCTGTTGTTAATGTTTAATTGATATTGGTAAATGTTATAATTTGGAAAATTATAGCTTTGCTAATTTTCTGTTTTTGATCAATATCTGGGTAGAATTTCCAAAAAGAGAAAAAAATCTAGCAAAAACTGAAAAGAGAAGAGACACAGGATCGGGGAAAGAGGACTTTAATCGGGAGAGGTATACAAGGCAAAACAGGACTTCAAACAAAGCTAAGACGTTAATGACAGAACTGGGGATACATACTGTGACGTGGACTTAAATACACAGGACTTAATAAAACAACAAGAAACAGCTGATAACATCGGGGTTTCACATGAGGTTAACGAGGGGGGCGTGGTTAACGAGGGGGGCGTGGCACATAGGAGGATCGTCCAAGCCGGGCGTGACAATACTTACTTGATGTATTGTAAAGCGCATCTCATGTAGAACAAAAATGTAGTTAGCCAAGGATACAATCTGAAGATAAAAAGCAGCATGAATGCTTCTGTTTGTGTGATGCATGGCCAAAATGAAAAGTGTAAAAACTTATAAGAACATTTTTTTATCTTAGTAAAATCACAGATAAATTAAGACTGCACGGATGAATCAGGTCATAAACCTACCTTTCTATTCTCTTTTTTAAAGTGAGCCTTTATTGTCCTGAAAAAATACATTCTTTTTCCTCCACAGACAGAACAAACACACTGGAGTCTTGACTTCTGGTGTCTCCTGTAAATTAAAATGTTTTTGTGGTCACATTTATGGCAATGTAGCTACTTAAAATTTAATTATATTAAATTTTTAATTATATTAATTATATTTTTGGAGATGTAGTGGCAAAAGTGGTAGTGCAATTTTGTGCAGGGTTTTCATTTTACAGAAATTGCTTGTAAGAGTAAATATATTAATTGGTTGTAGTTGTTATTATAGTATGTCCCCAACCATCACCTGGAATCATTTGCAGGTATCTCCAGATTTTAAAACCACCAGCTGGGATTCATACAGCTGCGGTCAGTTTTTAATGTCATTACAGATGCTTTGTGGAACTGATCCGCCACAAAATTAAGAAATTTTTTGAAAAATTAAGATCCTAAGTCTTTTATTTCCTTTTGAGGAACTTGTTGGTCTTCTTCAAACCATATGTCAGTTGGACGTTTAAAATGAATAACAAAATAACATTTAAATCTGAGTTTAAAGTGGGGAAATTGGTTAA